CACATGTGTGTGTGTCTTGGCTTTGCCCCGTGACAGTGCTGTCTCCCTCTGCCTGTCTTTCTCCCCACCGTGGGCACTGACTAGTAAGTAATGACGGCCATGAAGGCTTTGTTGGCACAAAAATGCTAAGAGAATTATCACTAAGCCAATGACGGCCACGGTGATTGCAATAAATTACCCCACAGCAGTTGATAAATTGCTACTTTCTGCAGCTATTATGGTTGGTTTTATATCCTGAAGAGTAAACACCTCTCTCTCTCACACTCACACACAGACACACACACCCCCGTGGTGAGGCAGTCTACCTTACATTGGATGGCATTTATTCATTTTATGCATCCTGGGTTCTGCTGGCTGTCCTGCCTCAGTTCCTGTAGCAAAGAGACTTGAGTCTGAGCCACTAATTATCACCAGTGAGGTTTCCTCCCCAAACGGAAGTATCAGGCCAGAGATGCTCTCTTACAGCACACTCTGTAACCAAGCCTCAGGCCCACTCCCGCCCAGTCCCTGAGGCCAGGAGCTGGAGTGCAGGTTGAGGGGGCGGCAGCTGAGCTGTCTGGGCCTCTGCAGACTCCTCATAGTCTGAGGGTAGTCCGAGTCCTGGCTTCAGAACCAAAGTCAGGCTGCCTACAAGTCGGAGGGGACCGGGGCCAGAGGATGGCCCAGATCACGGTGGGTTGTCGGGGGAATCCTGCTCCAGCCGATGGAGATGGCCGGATGTGCCAGCATGGGGTCGGTGAGTCTGGGTAAGGCATGACCCAAGGTGGCATGGGTAACCCGCTGGCCCTCCCCATAGCCCCAGCCTGCTTAAGGAGTCCAGCCTGCGGTGGGGGTACTTCTGAAGAAGGAGAGGGCCACCACCTTGGTTCATACGCCTGTTTGGGGGGAACCTGCAGCAGAGTCCAGGAAAATGAAGTTCTTGCTAGAACAAAATAGGGACTATTATTTGCACATTAAATTGGAGCCTTTTTTAGTATAAAAGCTTCAAGAATTTGTCGCACACTAGTGCCTTTAGTTAGTTAGAACAATGGTTTTGTGAGCTCTGGTGTGTTTCAAAAAACAACAGATGTTAATGTTTATGATGCATTTCTGTGGAAGGCTGGCCCATGGGGAATTGTAAAGGCAAGTCAATTTTACTTATTGGTAACCATTTCTGAGTTGTTTTATCACAGAACTGCGGCTGTTAAGTTCATCGAACTGGATTTTTCTAGAATCATTAGAAAATCTAGATGTTTGTAAAAGCCCTGTAAATTATTCATCCACTTCTATTTTGCAAAGTGCTGTGGTGCTAAGCTTCTCTTTTCTGTCACATCAAATTTGCAAGTATGTGTGTTTGTGTGTGGATTGGCCTGTGTGTGTGTTTTTGTTGCATCCGATTTATTGTATTCGCTTTTGTATGAACTTCTCAGCCTTCCTTTTAAAAATATAATGATTTTTTTTTATGATGTCTAAATAATGATTCCAGGCAATCTTACAAGAAATACAACAGTAAAATGTTTGTAAGAGTCCTTCAGAAAGGGAAAATGCCCACAGAGAAAATAGAAAGGCACCAATGAAGATGTGTGTGGCTCTAGCCCTGCTTTTAAACTCTGATTTGAGACTGGCATCCTCGATCCTGTCTCCTGTCAGGTCAGTGTACGGTTAGGGTAGGAAATGGGACTCAGCTGCAGCTTCCTTTTTGCCTCCTGGACCCCCAACAGGGAAGCCTAAGGTCCATGCTGCCAAGGCTAAGAAGCTAGAATAGAGGGCAGCCTCCCATTTGCAACAACAGCTTGAGAATGAGTGGCTGGAATATGTGAGTCCAGGTGGCTTCATGGGGCAGAGGGAAAACCCAGAAGAAAGCTGGCCACTTTAGAGTCCTCGGTAGACCAGGTGACCATAGTTACTCAGGCCCACAGTAACAGACCACCCCTACTCCCGACCCTGAAGACAGTTCGAATGTAGGGACTGGACCAGGTCAAGAGTCACTTCTGGGGTCTTAAGGAAATCCTAACCCATCTGGGTCTCAGTTTTCTCATCTGCAGAATGGAAGTAATGGCCTCCACCTGTCAAGACCCACATGTGCAAGTCAGGCTCTCACCCTGGTGTGAGTCTGGCCCCACCTCTTGGCAACTTCTCTTGTTTCAACTGCTGATTATTGCACAAATGCCACATGCCCACCACTTGCTGGATGCTGGGAGGTGACTTCCCAGCTGTCCTCTGTAGGGGAGGCCCAGGATTTCTACATGGCATGGCTTTTGTGTCATGCAGAGGGAAGGGGAAGCTAGGGGACTTTCTGAAAGCTGTTTCTCTTTGCATAGCTAGTGCCCAGTTTTTTCAGATTGTTTATTTCAGATCCAAAAAATGGAAAAGATTTTGCAGAAGCTATTATTCATTTGAGCCAACTGGGAAATGTGAGAATTTCTAGCTAAGATTATTAGTTACTTTATTAACGTCAACATGTGTGGAGAGGGAGGGACAGTGGAGATTATGGAAGGCTAGGGATCCCACTACCAGCTACCCCTTGGAACTCTAAGGGAAAGTTCCTACCATTGCATGCTAGTTGCAGCCTGTTACCCATGCTTCAGAGAGCCTGGGCACCAGAGAGGGGGATAAATCCTACCTCAAAGAAGAGGTAGGGTGAGAGCTTTACAGAGGAGGTGTCCCTTGAATTTTGTCCTCTAGTGGGAAGGGTCTGTCCTGGCAAAAAGATTCAGTCTGTAATCTGAGCAGAACAAAGATGGTATAGGCTGGGGAGACCTGAGATGAGCCCACAGACCAGGCAGCCTCTGATGGGAAAGGCCCAGAAGGTCATCTGCCAGTGGCTGCATCTGGGCCTGGCCTGCCCCTGGACAGCCCTGCCCAATGGAACCTGGGAAGACCACTCCCAGCAGATGTTCCCCTGTGACTCAAAAGCCCACAGGTTCTGGACCCATGACCCAGCCTCCCTGAAGCCTCCTTCTGTGGTTAGCCACATAGCAGGCTGCACCTAGAGGTGCAGTTCTGGTGTTTGATTTTCCACTTTGACCAGGACTGCATGAATCTATTTGTGTTTTTCCATTTATTTGCAGTGTTTAAACTCATCAGGACATAAATCGGCTGTGTAATTAACTTTATCAAATAGTGAAATGCCTAGCCAGGTTTAATAATCTGACCAGGCTACACTAAGAATTAGAAACTCAAGTATAATTTAATCATCCCTGGGTGCAGGAGGGCCACATCTAGCCTCTGGGGTGAACAGCCAGAACTCACAGTAATAGTCAGATGCCCTCAGACGCAGAGCCTAGCAGTTAGTCATTCGAGCCACAAACACTGAGTAACCCCAGGCTAGGTGCTAGAGACACGGAAATGAAGTGGCCCTCAGTCTGGGAGGATGACAGGCAAACAGTGTGTGTAGTCAATGGTGAAGTGACAGAAGTGCAGACTAAGTCCCGGAGTGCGAGGTCACCTCTGTCCTTAGGCACCTGGGAGCACAGCAAGAGGCCCTTCCAAGGCTGCTGGGACTACCCCATTTGTGCTGCTTAACTGTGTGGAGCTGGCCCACAGTGGGGGACTGGGAAGTGGTTGCATGACTCTCCCCAAGAGTGGAGACTGACTTCCAGGGTCCCTAAGAGTTCATAAAGAGGCTATTGAGAGTCCAGATAGGGCCCCCTGGAAGGTTCCTGGAAAACATGGCCTATCAGCAGGACAAACATGAATCCCCAAGCCCAGGAACTGGGCCATGTGTGGGAGGTAGAACTCCTTGGCAGAAGTCCCTGATGCTGCCTCTGCCTCTGCCCCCTTCCATGCCCCCACTTACCGTCTTGCCCAGCAGCGTGGGTTCCCATCCCTGAGTCTGTAAATCTACACTATGGCAAGGGGAAGTGGTAGGGGCCAACACAGCCCACAAGATCCATCTGGTCCCAGGGTCTGCAGATCCAAGTCTCCCTGGAAAGCAAGAAGCAACCCAAACCCCAGACGCTGAGGCTGCAGATTCAGCTGCCGCGCCTGACAGCCTCCAGCCTGGCTGGATTAACTGACTCACGGGGAGCTGATTGCCCCCACATGCCAGCTCTCTGACCTCGCTTGGCAGAGGTAAGCCACTCCTCCCTGGCTCCTATAGCGCCTGGGCATGTCCTCATTCAAGCACTTTTCTCTTTGCTGCAAGGTGTAGCTGGCTCTCCCAAGAGTCCCAAGAGGACAGGCCATCTTTGGACTATTGCACAGCCTTCATGTCTTGCTCTGTGCTGGACACTCCACAGCAGTTCAGGGACTAAAGAATTAGGACATTTCTCTGTGGAGGCTTAGCAGGACCAACCATAGTGTAAAATCACACAGGCTCTGCACTATTGCCACTCCAGAGGTAACCATTCACATGGGTTAGGGTGTAAATGCTGCCCCCTGGAGTTGTGCAGCTTGATGATTGTGGGGCTTGAGCATCTTCCTGCTTCAAGCCCCTGGCCTTGGTGCTGACTACCTGGTCTCCCTCCATACCCCCAACCAGCTCAGACCATCATCCTGCCTCTGCTGACAGTTGGTATAATGAGCAATTCTTCCAGGTCCTGCTGTCAAATTGTGATAGTGAAAGAGAGTTCAGCTGTGGAATTAGGCCATCTGAATCCTTGGTCTTCCAGGAACTTGGGTCCTTGGAAAATCTACTCAATTAGGGATTAGAGGGCTTCTGGGCCCCCAAGATTTGTGTGGTCTTCTGGTACCACCCAGTGGGCCTGGTGACACATATGTGCTTGGGATTGGGGGGAGGTACCATCCCCAAGGACTTGCCTCATTGACTCAGTGAACAATGCCCCTGTGGCCCTGATCACCTTTTCCTTACCAGAAGGATCTTGCTTCTGGTGGCCAAGGGATGTGCGAGAATGGGCCTCTTGCACCTGACTCTTCAGACTGAGAGGATTATAGGGAGAGAGTGTTTATACTGGGGTTAGGGAGGGCTTTATGGAGAGGGTGGGCCGGGGCTGGGAATGAGTGTCAGAACTCAGGGAAAAGGTTGAATCTGGAATGGGTTTTCATGAAAATGACTGTCTAATTCATCCACCCATGGCACAGAACTTTATTGAGCATCTACTACACTGGTTTTCAAAGTGTGATCCTGGGACCAGCAGCTTCAGAAACTGTGGGGATGGAGACCAGCAATACATTTTGACAAGCCATCCAGATGACTTCAGTGCAGCTCAGGTTCGACCTAATGAGTGCCAGGACTGGGCTAAGTGTTTGGGTTAATTACTAAAATAAGTCTGACTCAGTGGTCACCGCTGAGGAACGTGGCATCCAGAAGGGAAACAGACAGAGAAGAGAAATACTCTTGAACAACGTGGGTTTGAACTTGTCAGGTCCATTTATAGGTGGGTGTTTGTTGGTTGAATCCAACAATGCCGAACCTGCATACGGAGGTCCAACATCATATGGAATTATTGATTGTGTGAAGGTCGGTACTCCCACATTGCTGAAGGCTCACCTGTACTATCGGTGGGAAAAGAGCTGCTCCAGGGGGTGGCAGATATGGGTCTGATCCAGGAACTGAGGACCCTGACAAAGGAAAGGTTGATGGCATGAAGACTGGCTCCAGCAAGAGCTGGGTGTTGGGACTAGCAGCCCCTAGAGGGCTCCCGGAGATGCTGTCCCAGCCTCAACCCACCCTGTGCCCCATTCTGACCTCTGACTTCTCCCTGCCATACCCTTCCCTGCTCCACCACCCACCTCTTCCCACTCCTGGAGTCTCAAATAGCAGCAAGTCTTTTCCTTCAGTTGTCTTGGCGGGAAATGTGTGCATACCTCCAGGCCACATTTTTTAGAAAATTTTAGAGTAAATTTTTCCATTCAGCAAGGAAACCATGTATAGATTTAGGTGCACCTATTCCTATTTTACACAAATAATTTTTTTTTTTAAAATCCTAGATAGAGTGTACCAAAGTGGAAAATGAGGGAATTTAGCAGGCTCAGCTCATGGCACTTTGTCTCATCTAATCCTCACTAGCCCTCATTAAAGCAACATCACTCCATTGTACAGATGAGGGAACAGACCCAGAGAGGTCAAGTGTCCTGCCGACACCAATCAGCTAACAAATGGTGAAACTGAAATATGATCACAGCTGCCTCTAAGCCCATGTTCTTGCTGACCTACTGTGCAGTTTGCTAAGACAACTAATCCAGAGTAAATCCAGAGTTTCTAGATGTCTTCTTGAACACTCGTCCTGATAGCTGCTCTGGGGGGAACCAGCCTGACCTGGGAGCCTGACTTGCAAAGGCTGATCCTCTGCCAAATTGAGGGGGGGAGGGGCCTTCCTGGGGGCACAAGGGGTTAGGCACAGCACAGAACTGTGAAGCTCTCTGCAGCCTCTGCAGCAATGAGTTCGATCCCCAGCCGGCCAGGGAGCTGCCCACATGGCTCAGCAGACTTTTCCTGTGTCGTCTGCTGCTCCCCTCAGCAGTGTATTTCAGTCAGTCTGCCTGTTCTGCTCCCCACTCTGTCTCTGGTGAATCTTCTCACTCCCCGCATTTCTGGCCTGTACCCCAGTTCTTATATGCAAATTTTTAAAAAAAAAATTGAGGAGAGGATAAGTCTGGTAGGGAAAGAGGAGTGAGTCAGATTTAATTTCCCACCTTGCAAATGTGCCGCTGTGTACTAGTTTCCAGCTGCATGTCCTTACATAAAACCTCAGTCATCAAGGTGAGTAGCCAAGGATGCCTGCTCCCTCTCCCTAGAACACATCTGCCTTGCACACTGGTCCATCCTGGGAGCTGGAAGGGTGAGCCTCAGACCTTGGCACCCTTCCCTGCACCCCATTCTGTGTGGCTCCAGAATGGCTGGCTGCTTGCTTTGGTTGGAGAGAACAGAAGTAGCTGTGTGAGCAAAAGCTGCAGAGCCCACTCAGAGGCCAAAAGGACTCTTTAGCCCACATCACCCCCTACAACATCAGTTCATAGTGTTGTTTACATGAATGTCCCTTATCCAGAGGTCATGGGCTTTAGAAACCTCAAATATGTGGAAAACTAAGAAATAAGTTGGTTAGGTTGCAGAACCACCTATACTGATGTGGCAAAATCCATATGTTAAGCTTACAAAGACTCCTTATGCTCTAATTCAATGTGTCTTTACTCTTTCTTTATATACACTAATAACAGGGGGTGAGGATCTCTGTAATAATAACTTTATTTAGCTATAATTTACATACCATAAAATTGACTCATTTTTAAGTATAAAATCCAGTAGCTTTTAGTATATTTAGAGTTGTGCAACCATCCCCACAATCAATTTTAGAACATTTTCATTATTCCAGAAAGAAACCCTGTACCAATGAGTAGTCAGTCACCATTTTGCCCAACAACTCCCCACCATTCCCCGGCAATCACTAATCTACGTTCTGCCTCTATGGATTTGCCTAGTCTAAGCATTTCATATAAATTAAATCATGCTTATGGGACCTTTTGCTGCTCTTTATTGTTTTAAAGTCCATCCATGCTGTAGCACTTCATTTCTTTTTTATGCCTGAATAATATTCCAGTATATGAATGTATCACATTTTGTTTATTCATTCATCAGTTGATGGGCATTTGGTGTGTTTTCACCTTTTGGATATTATGACCACATTTTTGTTTACAGATGTTTTCCCTTGGACATGTGCCTAGGAGTAGAATTGCTGGGTTACATGGAAACTCTGTATTTAACCTTTTGAGTAGTTACCAGACTCTCTTCCATAGTGACCACACCATTTTACATTCTCACCAGCAGTGTGCGAGGGTTGCATGTCATCCTTGCCAACGCTTATTATCTGTCTTTTTAAATTATGTCATTCCAGTGGGTGTGAAGTGTAGCCTGTGCTTTTTCTTGAGGACTAAAAAGATATTGAACATCTTTTTGTGTATCCATTGAACTTTTTTAGAGAAATGTCTTTTCAAATCCTTTGCCCATTTTTATATGGGCTGGTATTTAAAATATTGAGTTACAAGAGCTCTTTATATATTTAGAAACAAATCCCACATCAGATATAAGATACGCAAAATTTTTCTCCTGTACCATATGTTGTCTTTCACTTTCTTGATGGTGTGTTTTCTGTATTCCTTGCCCACAGCAAATTAGCAGGACCTGGAAGGTTTTAAAAGGCCAGCAGGCAGACAGACAGCTATGATAAATGTCTTCTCCGTGACGGAGAAGGCAGAGAACCTACAAAAAGTTTCTATAAAGCTCAAGGTGAGATCAGGCCTGCCTGATGGCGCAAGGTGTTAAGCACCGTACTGTGAAGCAATCCACAGCCTCTGCAGCACGAGTTCGATCCCCAGCCAGCCAGGGAGCAACCCACATAGCACAGCAGACCTCTCCTGTCTTGCCCACTGATCCCCTCAGCAGTGTATTTCAGTCAATCTGCCTGTTCTGTTCCCCACTCTGTCTCTGGTGAATCCTCTCATTTCCCTGCACCTCTGGCCTGTACCCCCCAGCTCTTGTATGCATAAATAAATAAATCTTAAAAAAAAAAAACCTCAAGGTGAAACCTAAGAACACATCTTGTTGGAGCTGGAGGCAAGCATCTTGAAATGAGCACTGTGTTTTTCAAGGCTTCCTACCTCCAGAAGACACATAGAGTAAGCTTTGAAGATTTAAGCTCCAGTGCTATATGCCTTCCATCAGAAATATGCCTGCAACCTCCAGAGTGTGCCTTGCACAAGACTGGTTGCTCCACTTGGAACAAAGGTGGTCTCCACCATCCCAGAGCTGACAGAAAGACAGTGAAGGTGGATGAGCATCCGAACCACCATACGAGGACTCCCCCCAGGCAAGGGAAGGCCCCAGTCACAGAGCAGTGCCCTGTGTGCATGGCCCTCAACTGCCACAGGCCTACCGAGGGGAACAGGACAGCTACTCTCATTTTATAGACAAGGAAATGGAGGTTAGAGGACAGGACTGACCCAGTGTCTCCCGGTGAGGAACTCAGCAGGATAGAACCAGTTTCAGCCTCTCAGGTTGGCAGTCTTTCCATTAGTATACTTTTTTGGTTTTAAAGAAAAAACAATTGTGTACATTGTGCAAGAATTTGGCTCATTTTCATTTAAGACTTGCTGGCCACTGGTGTCGGCTGCAGGCACACACTAGTTTGTCCCGGGAGCACCCTGTGCTCTGTACGGTTTTGGGCTGCCAAACTTTGCTCCAGCAGGCCCTTCTCCCTGGAGTGCTTTATCCAGCTCAGCTCAGCGCTGAGCTCCCTAAGCCAGTGCCCACTTTTCTAATTCATCTGGCACCAAGAGTCCCTTTGGACTCTGGGTGAGTGTGGACTCCAGGTTGGGTGTGGACCTCCCCAAAGATTGTAAAGATATAAAGGATCACTCTCTGGTTGCAGGAAGAAAACTTGGGGCTTCTATTTGTATTGAAATGTTAGCTTTACCTCCTTGGCTTCATATAATCATATATATATATGATTTATTCTGTATCACACAGTATAGCATGCTAGTGTACAAATTACATTTTAAATATATTTAATATATAAATAAATGTAGCAATAATAGGAATGTGCCCCTCCAAATTTAATTTTAAGAACAATTTTAAAGTAATTACTTGAGGAGAACTGTGAATCACTTGGGGACAAGAACTGTTTCTCTCAGACCCCATGGCAGCCTGGACGGGAAACATTTAAGTCTGTCTATCCCTTCATGGGAGGGAGTGAGGGGCACCTCAGTTGACCTGAAGACCACCTCTCCTCCATCAAGCTGCAGGGTGCATAGCCAGCCCGCATCTCCCCCCAGCACATGACCCTACAGTGGCCCCTTCATTACCTTGACTTGCCCCAGCACCTTGAGTCCTGAAGGGTTGTCAGCTGCCGCCATTAGTGGCCTGTCCGAGAACAGACAGGCCTTGGCAGGAGATGGCAGTAGGCTCGTGGGCCAGGCATGGCTCCCAGCCACAAACACAGCCCATGTTGTGACCCTGAGGTGAAGGAGAACGGGTGGGTGAGCCTGGACAAAAATCAGAGGGGACAGACACCTGTGGCTGGTGCTGTGCTGTTTGAACCATGGCTTGGGAGGGGGAGCAAGCAGATCTGAGTGCAGGCTGTGGTCCCAGGGACCTGCAATTTGAGTCTTCCTCCCTCCTCCCCATCTGTAAATAGAACAGGCAGGGCCCAGCCAGGATTAGTCACTCTCTCATCTTGGGCCACAGGGATGGACAGACAGAAGGGGCTCCACTAGGCCTCTCCTCCAGGACTTGCACCAACCGTCCTACCCTTGCTGACTCGCAGATCAATAGCAGTCCCTGCCCTCCACACTGGAGGGCTTGTGCATGCCCACGCACAAGCACCCCCAGAAGAAAGGGCTCTGGGCTTGTGCACGTATTAGCTCATTTTGTCTTCACAACCATTTTGGAAAAAAATATAATTTGTCCCCATTTTAAAGGTTCAGGGACTGGGCCTCCCTAGTGGCTTCGGGGTTAAGTCTCAACGCTATCACCATGATGGCCCACGACAGGAACCTGAGTTCTATGCCCAGCCGGGGAGCTCACCCACATATAGCACAGCAGACCACTCTTGTCTCACCCGCTGCTCCCTCAGCAGTGTATTTCAGTAGATCCGCCTGTTCTGCTCCCCACTGTGTCTCTGGGGATTCCCCCTCTGGCCTATACCCCAGTTCTTCTATGTAAAAATAAATAAAATCTTCTAAAATAAATAAATAGTTTTTTAAAAATTAAAAAAAATAAAGTTTCAGGGACTGAGGCGCGAAAGCATCCAGCCAGTAAGTAAGTGATGGTTGTGGTTGTGATTGGGCCCCAGCACCTTGGCCAAGAGCCTGTGCATTCAGGCCCTTCTGGGGATTCTGCCCCAGTCCCTGGCCCACAGGCCTCCCTCCCTCAGAGCTGAAGGGAAAGGGGTGGGAGGCATCACAAGGAGCCATTACAACCTGTTGTTTCCTCTCCCAAAGTCTGAATTTTGGTGGCAAAGTGCTTTAGAAGTGCTTATGTTTTGTTTCCCATAAGTTTCATCCTGAAACTGCGGGAGCTGAAGGGGGTCTGGTGCAGTGACTTGTGTTCAAGAAGTCACCCAGAGAGGCTTAGTGACTTTTTGATGTCCCAGGATGAGCTGCGGCCGAGGCTGGGACACCAGCCCCGCCTTGGCATTTCCTACTGTTATGGCTGCTACCTCTGTGCTTCCCAAAACAAAGCAAAGGTTCTGAGCAGTGAGCCTGGGGAGCCAGCCCCAAATGACTCCCTTCCCTCCCGTGATGCTAAGTCCAGACTAGACAGGGTCTAGGTCTCATTGTCTCTTTTCTTTTGAGTTGGTTTAGTTTTATTTTGAGCCTGTAAGCCGAGTGGGGTTCTTCAAGGACCAGCGGATGACTGTTGTGCCCTGGGCCCTCCCTAACTTCCCCTTCAGAACTCAGGTTCTCTTGGCCAAGAACCCCAGTGTGCCTGGGCTGCTCATGGCCTCCTTTCTGCCCATCCTCTCTGCCCCCACCACCCTCCACACACACTAGACATGGGCACCAGATCTTACTCATCTTTATAGTATTAAGAGCGTTCAGTATAAGGCAGTTACTCAGGAGACAGGAGGTGAACACGAGCAAAGATGGAAACAGCTTTTGTCCAGGAGGACACCTACTTGGAGCCACCAAATCACTAGCAAATGGGGAGAAGCTAGTCTGGAGGTCTCTGTGTAATTACTATCCCTCCCTGTAATGATGCCCCGTAGCCGAGAGGCTGCTGTCTCCAGGAGGCTGAGGTGCTTGGGTGTATCTGTCCAGCCTTGACTGGCCACAGGGATAGTTTACCCGATGCTGATGTAAAAGCCTGGTGTCACCTGAAAAGCCCCATCATGACTCATCCCTCTTCCCAAGAACTGGAGAGGAAGGATGTTCTGGAACCTTTCTTTGCCTGCTGCTGGTACAGTGCTATGATCAGAATTTGCTTAATAATTGCTGACCAGGGTCTACCTCGTGGTGCAGGGGTTAAAGTCTCAGCGCTGTCAAGCTATCATGTCACGACAACATGAGTTCAATCCCCAGCCAGGGAGCTGACCCACATATAGCGCAGCAGACCTCTCCTGTCTTGCCTGCTACTCCCCTCAGCAGTGTATTTCAGTAGATCTGCCCGTTCTGCTCCCCACTCTGTCTCTAGTGAGTCATTTCACCCCCCTCATCTCTGGCCTACACCCCAGTTCTTGTATGCGTAAGTAAATAAAATAAATCTTAAAAAAAAAAAAATTACTGACCAGCATCTGCTGAGGGCTTACTAGACACCAAGCAAGCTTTGTTCTAAGTACTTTACACATATGACGTATTTAATCCTGCCAATCCCATCAGAAAGTTAGTATGTCCGTCTCCCGTTTATGGCTAGGGAAACTGAGGCACTGACAGGCCCAAGGTGACACAGCTAGCGAGTGACAGAGTCAAAATTAGAACCCAAGACTTCTGACTCCAGAGCTGGCTCTTGGCTCAGGCCCTTCCACCATGGGCACTCGGCTCCGAGCTGGCACTCTGGGCACCATCAGGAGGCCCATCTGCTCCTGAGAGGGGGGTCTGTGCTGAGCAAATATTCTCAGAACCACAAAACATTCTCTCCCACTTTGCAAGAAAGGGCTGTCCCCTTCAGAGCCCAGAGTTGAGTAGAGGGTGAGAAGAGTGGAGTCCTGGCTGGGGCTTGCCTGTCCAGTGGGTATGGCTTCTCCATGTGAGAGTCCCCACAAAAATGGCCCTAAAGAGGTGCAGCTCATCTGGTCCCTGGTATCCTGTGAGAAAGACTGGGCGATGCTTGGAAACCAAGTCAAAGGTGCAAGAGGCCAATGGAGAGCCAGTACTTGGCAGAGACGGACAAACACGTGTCCCCCACTTTCAGAATGGACAGTCACTGTGCTGCCTTCCATGCTGACCTCCTCTTAGCCAGTGTGGTCTCAGCCCCGCCACTCGGATGGATCACTGTGCCCTGTGTGGGCACTAAGACTCTTGGTCAAGTTCAGACTGCAGGGGCCACCAGACTGTGTCCTATTCTTCCTTCCCTCGCTACTCTCCTGCCACTGACCATCCAGCCTCTTGAGCCTGTTTGCTCCTCTTTAAGTTGGGAATAATAACGATACCAGCTGCGGGGGTACCTGTGAGGACTAGATGGGCTTCCCTTGCAGACAGGCTTCCAGCTGTGTCTAACACACAATAGGCATCTCATAAACAGGAGTCGCCGCTGCTGCTGCTACCTCATAATATCTCCAGGTCACAGTTTCAAGACCTTTTAAGACTACATTGTCTGTCATGTCAGAACAGAGATTGTGACCTCCAGTTACAAAAGTGGAAACTGGGGTCCAGAGAGGTGCAGGCACTCATCAAGGTCGCACAGCTGGCTCGTGGCAGAGTTGGGCCACAGCCTCCTGGTCGCCCAGCATTAGTCCTAATACCACTCCCCTCATCTCCAGTTGAACAGATCCCAGGAAGACTGTTGTGAAAAGTGGAAAGAGGGTGTTAAAAGCCTACCGTGTCACTGATTCTGGGTAGGGTAACCCTTCAACATTGAAATGCCCTGCAAACTCAGGCTGGAGAGGCCTCTGGACTTGGGCTCATATTAATGCTCTTATGTGCCTGGAATGAAATAAGATAGTGTAACAAAGGAAACAGACTATTAAAACACAGTTATTGAAATATATTTTTTAAAAGATGTATAATAGTAGGGCCTCCCTGGTGGCGCAGGCAGTTGAGCGCCGCGCTATGAAGCTGTCCGCAGCCTCTGCAGCACCAGTTCGATCCCAGCTGGCTGGTGAGGGTCCCACATGGTGCAGCAGACCTCTCCTGTCCCACCCGCTGCTCCCCTCAGCAGTGTATTTCTTCAGTCTGCCTGTTCTGTCTCCCGCTGTGTCTCTGGTGAATCCTCTCAACCTCCCACGCCTCTGACCTGTACCCCGGTTCTTGTATAAATAAAATAAATAAATCTTAAAAAAAATGTATGATAGTAATACACACTTTATTCCTACTTTAAATAAGATCTAGTGATAGGTCTACTATTTACTATAATTTTTATTTTTAAATTTTCTCCCCATCCTTATTGAGTTATGATTGAAAATCATGTATTTTTTTTTACATTTTAAAAAGACAGATTTATTAGGAAAAGGAGAAAGAAAAAGAGAGGCACCTGCAGAAGGGCTGCATGTTCAACTGCATGTATGTTTACAGCGTGCAATATGATTTTTGATGTATATTGTTGTATACATTATGAAAGCTTACCACAGTCAATCAACATACCTATTCCATCACATAGTTACCATTTGTGTGTGCAGTGAGAGTACTTTAGATCTAATCTCTTAATAAATTTATCATACAGAGCATTATTATCATTATTAATAGTCACCATGCTGTCCATTAGAGTCCCAGAATTACTTATAACGAAAATGTGTACCCTTTGACCAACGTTTCCTCATTTCCCTCATCTCAGCCCCTAGTAGCCATTCTACTTTGCTTTTATGAGTTTGATTTTTTTTTTATTATGCTTATAAGTGAGAACATACAGTATTTGTTTTTTGTGTCTGACTTATTTTCCTTAGCATAATGTCCGACTTATTTTCCTTAGCATAATGTCCTCTGGGTTAGTCCATGCTATTGCAAATGGCGAATTTCCTTCTTTCTAAAAGTGTGCCACATTTTATTTATCCGTTCATCCATTGACAGATCCTTATGCTGTTTCTCAGTCATGGCTACTGTGAATAGTGCTGCAGTGGACATGAAGAGCAGAAATCTCTTTCAGATAGTGATTTCATTTCCATTGGAGGCATCTCCAGAAGAGGGATTGCTTGATAAGGTGATAGGTAGTTCTAATTTTAATTTTTTGAGGAGCGTCCTTACTATTTTCCATAGTGACTACACCAATTTATATTCCCACCAGCAGTGCACAAAGATTCCCTTTTCTGCATGTCCTTGCCAACATTTATTATCTTTTGACTTTATGATGTCTTCCTAGCAGGTGTGAGGTGATATCTCATTGTGGTTTTTGATTTACACGTTCCTGATGATTTATGATGTTTGAGCATTGTTTCATACACCTGTTGGCCATTTGTATGTATTCTTTGGGAAAATGTGGATTCTGGCCTTTGTCCATTGTAACTGGATTATTTGTTTCTTTAGCTACTACTAGGATGAGTTCCCAATATTTTGAATATTAACCTCTTATCAACTGTATGGTTTGCAAATATTTTCTTCCGTCCAATAAGTTGCCTTTTCATTTTGTTAATTGTTTCCTGTGCTGTACAAAACATTTTCACTTTGTTGTAATCCCATTTATTTTTGGTTTTGTTGCCTGTGATTTTGGTATCAAATCAGAAAACATTGCTAAGGCCAATGTTAAGGCCTTTCCCTGCTATGCTTTTTTCTAGGAGTTATATAGTTTTGGGTCTTACATTTAAGTCTTTAATCCATTTGAGTTGACTTTTCCTTACTATCGGCTTTGTAATATAATTTGAAATTTGGTGCCTCCAGCTTTGTTCTTCTTGCTCAAGATTGCTTTAGCTTTCAGGGACTTTTTTGGTTCTCTATCAACCTTAGGGTTGTTTTTCCTATATCTGTGAAATACACTATTGGGATGTTGATAGCAAATACTTTGAATCTGTAGATCGCTTTGGGTAGTATGGGCGTTTTAATAATATTCTTCCAATTCGTGAACACAGAATATCATTCCATTTATTTGTACCTTCTTCAGTTTCTTTCATCAGTATCCCCTGGTTTTCAAAGTACAGATCTTTTACTTTCTTGGTTTAATTTATTCCTAAATATTTTAATCTTTTTAAAAGTAAATGGGATTGGGTCTCCCCGGTGGCGCAGTGGTTGAGCGCTGGGTTGCGAAGCTACCCGCAGCCTCTGCAGCGCTGGTTCAATCCCTGGCCACTGGGGTCCCAGAGGGTCCCACATGGCACGCAGACCTCTCCTGCCGCCCGCTGCTCCTCTCAGCAGTGTGCTTCATGATTCTGCCTGCTCTGCTCTCCCCTCTGGCTCAGGTGAATTCTTTCACCCTCCTGTGCTTCTGACTATACCCAGTGCTTGTATAAATAAAATAAATAAATCTTTAAAAAAAAAAAAAGTAAATGGGATTGTTTTTCATTTCTTTTTTGGATAGTTCATTGTTCGTGTATAGAAACAACTGAATTTTATATGTTGAGTTTATAGTCTACAGCTTCACTGAATTCATTTATTCTATCAGGTTTTTAAAAAAGATTTATTTTATTTATTTATGCATACAAGAACTGGGGTGTAGGCCAGAGGTGCAGGTTTGTGGTGGGGGGAGGCTGAGAGGATCCACCAGAGACAGAGTGGGGAGAAGAACAGGCAGATCTACTGAAATACACTGCTGAGGGGAGCAGTAGGCAAGACAGGAGAGGTCTGCTGTGCCACGGAGGTCAGCTCCCTGGCCAGGGATAAATCTCATGCCACAGTGGATGGCGATAACTTGATAGTGCTGAGATTTAACCTCTGAACCCCCAAGGAGGCCCTTAATCAGATTTTTTTAGTGGAATCTTTAGCGTTTTCTTTTTTTTTTTTTTTTAAGATTTATTTTTATTTATACAAGAACTGGGGTATAGGCCAGAGGCACGGGAGGGTGAGAGGATTCACCAGAGACAGAGCTGGGAACAGAACAGGCAGACTGATGAAATACACTGCTGAGGGGAGCAGCGGGCAAGACAGGAGAGGTCTGCCGCGCCATGTGGGTATCTCTGTGGCCGGCCGGGAATGGAACCTGAGTTGCAAAGGCCGTGGACAGCTTCACAGCGCTGTGCTCAGCCTACTGAGCCACCGGGGAGGCCTCTTTAGGGTTTTCTATATGTAATTGCATTCATTCTCCTTTAATGTTTGATAAATTTATCACCTGAAAACAGAGTCAGTTTTACTTCTTCCAAGTTGAATGCTTTTATTTTTCTTCTTGTCTGATTCCTCTGGTCAGGACTTTCAGTACTATGATAGATAGAAGGGACAAAAGTGGCCATCCTTGTCTTGTTCCAGATTTTAGAGGAAAAGTTTTCAGCTTTTCACCATTGAGTATGTTGTGAAGTGTGGGTTTATTTCTATATGGACTTTATTATATCGAGATACATTCCTACTAAACCTAATTTTTTGAGTTTTATCACCAGGGTATTGAATTCTTTGGTCATATCCCACTGCAGTCATATTCTCAAAGTGGATCTCATTCACTCATTTAGCAAACATTGAACACCAGCTGTTTGTCAGGTCATGTAAAAAATGTTAAAATTCAAAGCCATGTAAGATGAGGTTTCAAGCCTCACTGGTGGCGCAGGTTGTTGAGCGCCACACTGTGAAGCTGTCCGCAGCCTTTGCAGCGCCGGTTCATTCCCTGCTAGCCGGCGAGGGTCCCACATGGCACTGCAGACCTCTCCTATCTCGCCCACTGCTCCCCTCAGCAGTGTATTTCGTCAGTCTGCCTGTTCTGTTCCCTGCACTATCTCTGGTGTATTCTTCTCACCCTCCCGCACATCTGGCCTGTACCCCAGTTCTTGTATAAAAGTAAATAAATCTTAAAAAAAAAAAAAAAGATGAGGTTTCCCTGCTTTCAAGCTGCTCAAGGAAGCACATCAGAGGTATCATTCCAAAATGTAGAGTTAACTAGCACAAGAACATATCTGCCCTTCCTGGCAATCAAAAATCCCACCCAGCAATGATGAGGTTGGAGTTAAGTGGTCTCTCCTAGATGGTAATGCTGTCTATAGCATAAGCCTTTTGAAAAGAAGTATGGTACCACATAGTGTTGATCATGAAATTTCTATACCCTTCTTACTCATTGTGAATTTTTCCCAAAGAAATAATCCAGCAGGAAAGACGAGGAATGGGGGACAGAGGTCCTTCTCCCCACTCTTCGTGAACCTGTGCCCTCTCAGGAAAAGGCTGAGCCTCCCTCAGTCTGTGCCCCACCCCCTACACTGGCACATGCTAGTGCTGATGAAGGCTTGCGGATGGATGTTTGAGTGTCACCAGCTGCCGTGGACCAGTGAGGGAGGTGGTAGGAGAAGCAGCGTGGGAGGCCTCCGCTGATCAGACCCTGTTTTTTCTTCCAGTCGCCAAAATGCCAGAAGAGATGGACAAGCCGCTCATCAGCCGCCACCTGGTGGATAGCGATGGCAGCCTTGCCGAAGCCCCCAGTGAGGCCCCAAAAGTGGGCATCCTGGGGAGTGGGGACTTTGCCCGCTCCTTAGCCACACGCCTGGTGGGGTCTGGCTTCAGCGTGGTAGTGGGGAGCCGCAACCCAAAACGCACAGCTGGGCTGTTCCCCTCAGCAGCACATGTGACTTTCCAGGAGGACGCAGTGGGCACCCCTGAAGTCATCTTTGTGGCCGTGTTCCGGGAACACTACTCCTCCCTGTGTGGTCTCAGCGGCCAGTTAGCCGGCAAGATCCTGGTGGACGTGAGCAACCCCACAGAGCAGGAGCACCTTCGGCACCGCGAGTCTAATGCTGAGTACCTGGCCTCCCTCTTCCCCACCAGCACAGTGGTCAAGGCCTTCAATGTCATCTCTGCCTGGACCCTGCAGACGGGCCCAAGGGATGGAAACAGACAGGTAGGTGCTGGGGAGAGCGCAGGGTGGTAACAACCATGACAACCTTAACCGTAAACAGCTTCTACTGAGGGCCCTCGGTGCTCCAGACCGGTGAGTGCATCCTCAGCTCATCTCATATCACCACTGTATTCTATTTTACAAAACTGGAAACTGAGGCTCAGAGATGACATACTAACACCAAGTACCACAACAGTGAGTTGGGATTTGAGGGCAGTTCCAACAAATCTCAAATCCACGTTCTTCATTTCTTAGTGGCAAAGAGGAAAACATTGATGGATTTTTGTTTACTGTTTGAATCAAGAAGAGGTGAGCGGGCCTCCCCTGGTGGCCCAGCGGTCGAGCGCTGGGTTGCGAAGCTGCCCGCAGCCTCTGCAGTGCCGGTTCTATCCCTGCCACCGGTGAGGGTCCCACATGACGTGCAGACCTCTCCTGCCGCCCGCTGCTCCCCTCAGCAGTGTATTTCGTCATTCTGCTTGTTCTGTTCCCCGTGCTTCTGACTGTACCCACTGCTTGTATGAATAAATAAATCTTAAAAAAAAAAAAAAAAAGAAGAGGTGAGCCTTGGCTTTCAGAATTGGGCCCAGAAAGAAGAAAGTGATACATGTATGTGCCAGGCCCTGAGGACTTCCCAAACCTTATCTCATTTACACCAAGAGCCTCTAAGAACTGAGAAGGTTTTTCTGGGGGTGGAAAATGGCTCCAGAGAATGCCCAGAGCTGCATACAGTTCTTGGCTGGAGGAGCTCTTGCCAGTACATGGTGCCAGAAACCAGAGGCCTCCTGTAATTACCTGAAGGAAGGATCCCAGGCCTCATCTGTGTGGGAGAACATCCAGTAAGTCCAGCTCAGCCGCCTCCTCTGCCTAGCCCCATACCAGCAGTGGGAGAGCCCCAGGTGCCTGCTGCACACTGGTACTCAGGTATGTGGACAGGCCAGGAGCAGCATGTGAGTGTTGGGTGACAGGGTCAGGAGGGAACCAAGCAAGCGTCAGACTAGGAAAGATTTCCAGGTTAGGCTTGCCTGGCCCCACCTTCTATTATCAGGCACAAGGAGCAGGAGTTCCCAATGTACCTACACCAGTCCCCTCACCTGGAAAATGAGGACTGTTGAACCTACCTGCAGAGTTGTGGTGAGGCTGAGGGATGGTAAGAAGTGTGGCACTGGGGCATCAGTATAGGTGGGCCAGACTCACCATGGCAGTGGCAGCAAGGCCCATGGGGCATTTGGGGAACTGAGGACTGCAGCATGCTTCCACTGGAGCCTATGGTGGGGATCAGGGGGCTGTGAGGCTGGGACTGGCTCATGGAAGTCTGTGGCACTGAGGGGGCCAAGGAACTTCATTGAAGGGGACACTTCTGGACTGAGGGACTGAGTTGCAGGTATAGTTATATATTTGGGGCTGTATGCAAAGCCCAGCTGCTGAGTGACAACCCCCCCCCCCAGGGCAGGTCGCAGTCTTCAAAACACCTATCGAAGGGACGGCTGGGGCTGTCTCACTGGGCATTCTGCTTGTGGAGGCTGAGGGCAATGAACTAGGTAGGATGCTGTGTTAGGTGAGCCCTCGGTAACCCTTCAGTGGTGGGCCTGCTGGACATACCAGGTCAGAGGCTGGGAGGCCACAGGGCTCTAAGAGTGGCCTATGAGACCGACACAGCCTTAATTGACAAGTCACTGGGCCTCAGTTTCCCTGCTGTTCAATGAGGAATTTGGCACAAATACTCTCTGAGGCCTTGCAGCCTGTGACCGCATCTTATTTCCCCCTTTGCCATCCCTCCAGGTGCCCATCTGCAGTGACAAGCCGGAAGCCAAGCGTACTGTCTCAGTGTTGGTGCACACCATGGGCTTCACACCCGTGGACATGGGCTCCCTGGCCTCTGCTCGGGAGGTGGAGGCCATGCCCCTGCGCCTCCTTCCTGCCTGGAGGGTGCCCGCCCTTCTGGCCCTGGGGCTCTTTGTCTTCTTCTATGCCTACAACTTCATCCGGGACGTGCTGCAGCCCTACGTACAGGAGGGCAAAAACAAGTTCTACAAGCTCCCGGTGTCAGTGGTCAACACGACACTGCCGTGCGTGGCCTACGTGCTGCTGTCCCTGGTCTACCTGCCGGGGGTGCTGGCAGCCGCCCTGCAGCTGCAGCGTGGCACCAAGTACAGCCGCTTCCCCGACTGGCTGGACCACTGGCTGCAGCACCGCAAGCAGATCGGCCTGCTCAGCTTCTTCTGTGCTGCCCTGCATGGGATCTACAGCTTCTGCCTGCCGCTGCGCCGTTCCCACCGCTACGACCTGGTCAACCTTGCAGTCAAGCAGGTAAGCACGGCCATCTCCTGCCCTCGCTCCGCACCTGGCAGGGAGTGTGATGTACCTGTGGGCGCACCCTGTCAGCTCTCATCTGTGGATCTGCTCTGACTGTCCAGTGCCCATGTCCTACTGTCTGTGATTTTGAGTATCAAGACAAAATATGAAAATCTCTGTGCTCTGGGGCAAAGCCCAGGTGGGGGAGACAAACAAGCATTAAGTGATGGGCGGGGGGTGTCTAGAGGGTGGTAAGTGATAAGGAGAAAAAGCACGTAGGAGAAAAAATGGGGGTGCAGGAGGCCTTGCTGAGTGGGTGATATGTGGGTGATTTGTGAGCAAAGGTAGAAGGAGGTGAGAGTGAGACAGTGGCTGGTAGGGGAGCAGCCAAAGCAGAGGACTGCGAGGAAGAGCCGCAAGTTTGGGGAATCCTGAGGAGGTGCTGAGTGAGGCTGGAGCTGGGCAGGCCTGAGGAGTTGAAACCAGATCAGGGAAGCCTCAAGGGCCAAAAAGGGCTTAGGCCTTAGATTTGAGTGAAAAAGAGAGCCAGACAATAGAGGGTCGAGGCAGAGGCTGGGAGACCAGCTGGGAGACTGTGCAGGAACCCAGAGGTGATGGAGACGTGGAATAGGGTGGGAGCAGCAGAGGAGCGAGAAGTATCAAAGGCGTATTTGAAGCGGAGTACACAGAATTGTGGAGGGACGAGGGGTGTGGAGGGGTGGTGATGGAGGACTCCCGCTTTTGGCCTGAGCACAGGCAGGATGGAGTTGCCATCAGATAAGATGGGAAAGGCTGCAAGATTTAGGGATAGGAGTGGCAACTGTGACCATTCATTTAGGAATCCCATATGGTACTCCTACCAGCAGGCTTCCTGGAAATGGAGGGCCTCTGGCCAGCCAGGGAGCAACATAGACAGTATCAGTTGGCACCTGAACCCGCAGAAATAGGCCCTTGATGCTCCCTCCTCATTTATAAGCTCACAGGCCTGAATCTGAGTCCCAAGGTCAGGTCTGCAAGCAACACTGCCTTTCTCCTGCTTGATTCCAGCCCCAGTTCCTAGGCTGGTGCCCCAGTCCTGCCCACTCCAGGACACAAGCCACTTGCCAGCTTTGCCCAGGTGCCAATGAGATACTTTTCATCCACCCCACTGCTCCAGTCAGGTGATCCCTGAAATTCCTGTTTGGGATACAGGGAATCTGGTGAGATCCTGGTATACCCACCATATAGCCATCCTGCTCCCAGAGAAGGACCAAGAGGTGGGGGGTGGGGGACAGGTATTAGGGTGTAGAAAAGGGGCACTGCTACTTGGGAACTCAGCTCCTGCTCTCTCAGGTACCCTGCTTCACTGCTGTAAACTTGTCAAATGCCCTTGTTCTTCCCCACCCATGAGCACCTGACATCATTACCTCTGTAGGCTGTGGCTTTTCTAAGAGAAAGGAAGACCCCCAGACTTCAGGTGAAGAAGCAGAATGCCTGCTAGAAATGAAAGGAGAAAAAAAATAGTGACAAACACTTAAGAAAGCACTTGCTTAGTTCCAGGGACCATTCTGAGAGCCTTACATGCTCAGTGTGAATTCATTTAACCCTTCTCTAATCCCTCTAAGGTGGCTTCTATACTATTCTTTTACAGATGAGAAAACAGGGACAGAGTGGTTAGGTCACTTGACCAATGTCACACAGCCAGTAAGTGGGAGAGCAGGGACTCAGATCTAACCATTGTGTTCCAGCGCCACTTTCATAACCATACAGGGAAACAAGTCCAAATGAAGTCTTGACTAAATGATCCCAGAACTCAGTTCATTCACTCATTCATTCACTGAGCACCTGCTCTTGTCCCCGGCCCTAGCTGATATGGGGGATCTCGGGGCTAAGACCAGAGCTCTGGCTTTGAGTCCTTCGCTGTTGCTGATTGGAACAAAGACCTTGATCTGGAGCAAGTCACAGCCCCTGTATTGTGCTCAGGACCCTGATTGTAGAGCAAGGACTGTCCCAGTGCTAATGATTTTGGCGCTCTTTGATGATACTACCTTCTAAAAGGAGCCAGCCTGCTTAGCCAGAGGCTCTATGTGGCTGCTCAGGAAGTGGCACAGTGTTTGCTGCCCCAGAGGTGGCAGATCTAGGTGGCAGGTGCTCCAGGCAGTGGGTGGGAAAAGGTATTGCCCCCTCACACCTAGACCTCTAGACAACAGCCTGAACCCTCCCTCCCGCCAGGCTTTGTCTGACCACCTTTGTCTAGATTCTCTGCCCGGGCCTATTAAGGCTGTCCTTGATACTCTGTTAACCCAGTTTTGCCATGTTGCAAATACCAGGGCTCGAAGGGGCGCGTGCAAGGTAATTTTCCTGAGTCCAAAGCCCTTCAAGGTTGCTGGTCCCTGTGGTGGTTGCCAGGCAACCTTCGCTCCCACAGGAGAGGATCACTCTCAACGACAGGTAGCGCCTGTCACACAGAGGGGCTTAACTTGCACTGTGGAGTTCTGGAGGGCAGGGCCAGGGCTACATGGGTATGTTCGTGTCAGGGATAGCTAAAGTTGGGGGACTCGGGGGTGATGATGTTAGCACAGAGCAGAGCAGCCAGAAATGGCCAGTTGCCTGGAGGTATTCAAGCAGATGCTGGTTAGCTGTGCCCTCAGGTTCTGAAAGTGGGCATCTGAGGCTGAGCTTCATTCAGTCCTTAAGGGCAGGGCCTCTAGCACCATTGTGCCCTATGTGTGACTCTCCCAACCTGCGTTCAGCTGCCTCGCTTTAGGCGGGATGTGCTTACTACCCTGGCCACCCAGGGACCATGTTAACTTGGGCACAGGAAGCTCTTCAAGGCTTTCATCAAGTCCCGGAGATTTGGAGTGCAAAGATTTGGAGACAGAGCTGTATCCCAGCTTTAGGAAAAAGCCTCTGAAACCATGTTTACTGACAGTATCATTACTAACAATAACTAACATTTGTATTTTAACATTTGATTTGTGTGTGTGGTTCACTAGAAATGCACTTCAGGATCAAAGGCAATGTTTAACCCCTGCACTGTTCTCCTCACTCTATCCCCCAAATCTCGTTAAGGCTTGCAGAAAGAACCATCTGATGCCTACACGGATCTTGTCACTACTGAAAAGCACTTGGTGACTCCCCACTGTCCTTAGAATATGATAGACCACGATGTAGCCATGCTTTCTCATCTCCCCCCCTACTCCTGTGACATCAAACTTGGGGCCCATATTGTCCTCTGAATGGGCAGAGGTCACTCCTCTCAACCTGAACTCCCCACCCTGTGACAGCCTGACAAACTCCTATTCCTCCTTCAAAACCTTGTTACGCTCCCTCAGCCTATCCCCCTACATTCCCTGTGCCCACCTCTGTTGCATTTTGCCTATGTTTCCATAGTTTTTCTCATGCATCACTTTGTAATCACTCATTTCCATGTCTGTCTTCTTCCCAAACTCAAAGTTCCATGACTGGGTCTTCTACCCTTTGAGGTCCGTGGTTCCTATTACACATTCCCAGTACATGTTCATTGAGTGACTGACTGTTAAATTGGCCACCATGAAGCCAATACCAGGCATCTGTTAAGAGATGTAAACTTGGGGCCTCCCCGGTGGCGCAGCGGTTGAGCGCTGGGTTGCGAAGCTGGCCGCGGCCTCTGCAGCGCTGGTTCAATCCCCGGCTGCTCCCCGGCCACTAGAGGAGGGTCCCACATGGCGTGCAGACCTCTCCTGCTGCCCGCTGCTCCCCTCAGCAGTGTACTTCGGTCCTTCTGCCTGCCTGCTCTGCTCCCCGCTCTGGCTCTGGTGAATTCTCTCACCCTCCCGTGCTTCTGACTGTACCCAGTACATGTATAAACAAACAAATAAAAACAAGAAAGAAATAAATAAATAAAATACATGCCTCTTTAAAAAAAAATAAAAATAAAAAAAAAAAGAGATGTAAACTTGGGGAAAAAACTTATTTAACTGCCCAGCTGCCATTAAGAACAGGTGCCAGCTATTTATTTTACTAAGCACCTATTGTGTGCCATTCATATGCTGCTCAGTTCATAAACTTTCTTTTTATTTCTCATGATAACACAGCCAAAAAAAAAAAAAAAAAAAAGAATGTTATTAGCCAGGGAAGGTTCTACCAGGGTGTTGTGACTGCCCCTCAGGGGGAAAATCATCATTGGATTCCTGTCCTTGGGACTGCAGACCCCTTCTTTCCACCCTCCCAGGCTACCCCTTCCCCTTCCTGCCTCCCCCTGCTCTGGGCTTGGCTGGTGATCAGCACCCACCTCTCTCCCAACCTTCACCCACTCTTGGATGTGGAGAGAGGTTAATGCCCCTGGGTCCTTCAGCGCCTGACCTCCAACCTACAAAAGGCAACCCCACATGTGAATGCCGTCAGTTCACCCCTTGTTGACAAGCTCTCTCCTTGTCATTCTCAAAATGGCCGATTTGATCAGCTCTTAACATGGGAGAGTTCCTAGGGGGGGACTTGGTAATGTGACCCATGTAGCCGTGTGTGACAGCGGTAACTGGGGAGCCCTGAGGCAGCCCCGTGGTTTAGTTGGGTGGGGAGGAACCTCACAGGCTACGGAAGATGCTGGGATCCAGATCCCCATGAGACTTCCTCACCCTTCAACCCTCCATTGCGCACCTTGCCCCATCCCTTCCAGCGTCACTGCAGAGTGGAAATATTAAAGGAAAAAACCAAGATCTCTGGCAAGCATGTGGATGGGATGATCCAAACTCAGACCTGCGACATTAACTGCCTAATCTTAACGAAAACACAGAAAGGAATGACTAATGAGGTATATTTGAAGAACAACTTGCAACGAGGAGATGACTTATTTAGCGCGGCTGTTAGCACTGCGAAGGTGTGAGTAAGATTTCTTTAGGCTCAATTACGCAGGAGCCCTCCCTGCCCTTTGCAGGATAATACCAGCCACGATTTTCTAACAAATACTGACATTGACTTTGTACATAGACAGAATCACGGGGTATTAACTATGACCTCATCCGGCTCTCGCTGGAGACCAGACTTGTCCAGAGTCATGCACAGCAAGAGTAGTCAGGCTGAGAACTCGGGCCCCTGCGCCCCGGTGCCTTTTGTGACTTGAAGACATCAAAATGAACCTGCCTTCCCTACAATAGAACAGAGGTCATCTTTTCACAAATTGCAGAAAAAGACTCCAATGAACGGCATTTTTCTCGTTTCTTTAAACTTCCCTTCATAAGCTTCACAACTATTTGTGCTCAGCCGACGAGATTCATTTTTAATATTACATCAGGTAACTGGGCTTGGATTATTTTTTTCCTGCTGAAATAGCTTCTCAAAACCTACATGAGTCATTCTGTTTTGTGAAGCCGACCTGCCTACGAACGCATTGTCACATTTCCTAGTGGAAATATCACTCCTTATTCTGCTGGGAGAATTAAAGTACCAGCATTTCATGGTATTCTCAGAGAACACCTTGACTTCCAGGAACTCCGCTACCAGGGCTAATTGGAAAATGATGGTTCTAATGGAAGGATTGTGATAAAAGTTCTTCCTTGGGAGTGTCAGCCAGGCAAGGAGGGAACTCAGCCAGAGGCACACTGGGCAGGGATGGAAGGGCAGACATCTCTGGGCCTGCAGGGGCTCCCTGATTTGTTTTTCCCTGGGGATCAGTGGGAGAGCCCAGAGCTTTGTGAAGGCAGGTGTCCTTGCTCTTTGCAGCCTAGGGTCCTGCACACAGTAGGTGCCTCCTAAGTGCTTGCTTGCTGAATGGACATCAGTCTGATGCCAGGCAGTGGTTGAGCTGGAGCCGTGTGCCTCAAACAGAAACAGGGAACTGGGTGGGAAGGTGGTGGCTGGGGGCTGGAATCAGGAGATGTTGAGAAATTTAATGTCTGTGTGTGTGTCTTTGTGTATCTTGACAGAGAGCCAGTGATGGGGTGGGGGTGCATCCTGGAGAACCAGGAAGGCAAAGAGTCCAGTGGGAGGACAGGCTGGAAGCAGAGGCAGCCAGCAGAGGCAGGAGTCCATGTGAATGAAGGAATCCGAGTTCTGGATTTGGGGACCAGAAAACCATGTGACATGGGCTCATTTGGAGTCTGTACTGCTTGTTGATTTCTCAGAATCCTTCCTCTGGGCTCACATGACCATTCTAGTTGACTCGCTCCAGGCATGTGTATGAAAGCCTTGGGGAGGGAGTCTGAGTCTTTGGAGCCAGATCACCTGGGGCCTAATCCCAGCGCTGCCATCTACTAGTTGTGTGTGACTGTGGGAAAGTGACTTGAACTTTGTGCCTAATCTGTAAAATGGAGACGATAGTGCCCTGTACCTCATGGGTATCTTGTGAGGACTAGATGAGCTGATACCTGAAAAGCACTTAGGACAGAGCCGGGGTCAGTGTGGTAGAAATGTTAGCCCTGAATGTGTCTCTTGAGTCCTATAGGCCTCCTCACCCACATCCAGGGCACTGATCTTCACCATGGTAATCATGGTCTTTCTTTCATCTAATCAGGCCTTGAACAACAAGAGTCACCTCTGGGTTGAGGAGGAAGTCTGGAGGATGGAGATATACCTTTCCCTGGGAGTGCTAGCCCTCGGCACACTGTCCCTGCTGGCTGTCACCTCACTGCCGTCCATTGCAAACTCTCTCAACTGGAAGGAATTCAGCTTCGTGCAGGTGAGCAGGTCTGCTTCTGCTGGTAAGCCCCAGCTTGGCCTGGCCCCCTTCCTGTGCAAGCACCCTGCTGTGAATTGCCTCAGCTTTCTGAATCTTTATAATAGGACAGCTTATCAGCCAGGGCCTTCCTGAGGCATGCCAGTCTCCTGATAAGGGGGCTGGCTGCCTGGGATAAGCACTTACTCCTGACATCCGGAGAAGCCAGCTATAGGCATGTGAAAAAATTAGACAACAGAACACTGAACCCCACACTAAACATTCTCAGTTTCTACAATTCTTGAACTCCCCAAACAAAACCCCTGATGTGCAGCTGTTGGACATCTCTCTCTGGACAGCGCGGAGTCCGTGAACCTAGCCAACCACCCAGCCCCGTCCCCGTGATCTGGCCCTGCTGCTCCCTATCACCCCTCAAGTCATGCAGTGCAAATGGGAGGTAAGATTGGGATTACCAGTTTATGGGGAATAAAACACAGCATTTCCCAAAGGATGCTGTCCCCTATAAAAAAAAAAATCCAGAGAAAGGAGATCTGTAGTTCAGATGAATCTGAGAAAAGATATGCTTCCTCCAAGAAAACACATCAAGATTCTAACAACATCTACAGCAAGCAAATCTTGTTAACCAGACTTATTTGAGCATTAGCACCTTCCATTCCCCACTCTCCCCCCCCCTTTCTCAACAGCTTCCTACGCCCCACAAACACTCTTTGGGAAAGGTTATTAGATAAAAGGTTATTGTGCATTTATTCATGCAGTAAATGTTTATTGAGCACCGAGTGCAGGCCAGGCACTGTGCTAGGCTCGGGATATGATAGGGAATGAGGCAGGCAGAGCCACACTTCAGTGTCAGGACAACTGAGAAAGGTCCATTTTTTATATTTCTTTGGCGTCTCCCACTGTTTTCCAGAGTATGTGGTCAGCCCCCCACGTTGGTGGATTAACTCATCCCCTCCCCGGGGTGGGTGTTGACTCATACTGGATTCTGCCATCTATATTGTGCAGGGCAGGGAACAGCTCCAGTCTCCACCCCCATTGTCAACAAAAATCTGCCGCCTCTCTTCTCTGTGCAGCGAGGACCCGGTACAGGCTTCCGAGGGGGACACTGGCAGCACAGGGCTCTTATGTAATCCAAATTAATTGTCCCCGATTGGGGACGCCTACATGTCCCAGAACAAAACAGAGTTGCGGTGTGTTAAAATGTGTCTCACAGTCTCTGCTCATTTCCGAAGGTCTCCGGAGGAGAGCTTAGCGCCGAGACACGCTGGTGTGAAAGGGGGAGAACAAGAATTTTATTTATCTACCACTAATCCTCATGTGTCACACACCCAAATCTAGGATTTTCCTGTTCCTGCCTGGAGTGTCCTAGGGTGGATGGTTTCTCCATAATTAAAACAGGCTGCAGGTTACTCCTGTCACCACAAAGTTGCTTCCTTAAGCAGCTGTAGATTACGAGCCCCGGCTCTGGCCGCCTGAGAAAGCCAGAGGATTTGATTTTGTTAGCAAAAGCTGACTGGGACCTCGGCAGCCTACATATTCAAGACTGAAATACAAATATGAAAGTCCTTCCGCCACTGCAGGCGCAGGGAGGGGGGGAGGCAAGAAGAGATGGCTGCCTGCAAAGGAGGGCTTTACTTGTGGAAATCAAGCGCTCTGTTCACAAAAGCAAAGGCTCTATCCCCAGGTGCTGACTCAGAGGCGAGCCCTCAGCTCCCGCGCGGTGCCCCTGCTCTGCCATCCTGGGCGGATCTGTTTCCACTCTACAGTCTCACTTTGCACCCTTGTGAAATGGAGCAAATGCCCTAGCAGGATGTGGGGAGGCACTGGGAGAGATTTATGTGGGAAAGAAATACAGGGAGAGTTTGGTATTATTTTAGGGTACACAGCCACAGTTCCTTTTCCGCACTGTGCTGCCAACTACCATGACTGAGTTGAGCAGCAGTCAGGGAGAGGCCAGGAGACCCCAGTCCTGGATGCCAGCGTGGGACGGGCACTCATTGACCCGGCATCAGATCAGCTTAGCGGGTGACAGCCAGCTGTTTTAAAAATGAAATGGGGCCACCCCGGTGGCGCAGCGGGTTGAGCGCAGCGCTGTGAAGCTGTCTGCAGCCTTTGGGTGCCGGTTCAATTCCCAGCCAGTCAGGGAGATTCTCACATGGCGCAGCAGACCTCTCCTGTCTCGCCCGCAGCGCCCCTCAGCAGTGTATTTCGGTCCTTCTGCCTGTTCTGCTCCCCACTCTGTCGCTGGTGAATCCTCTCACCCTCCTGTGCCTCTGGCCTGTACCCCAACTCATGTATAAAAATAAATAAATCTTTAAAAATAAATTAATTAAAATGAAATAGTACTAGAATGGCAAGGAAAATGTGAGTGCTTTGCGTGTTGTAAGGATAGCCATTTTTTGATTCAGTCATTCTATCTACAGATGCAGCATACCTGGTTGTAGACTAGACAGTGGTATAAACTGTGAGTTGCCTTGAAAGAAGTCTAAAGTCATGGAGCTATCTTGGTGAAACACATATACCCAGCCTTTCCCCACATACCCTAAAATCTGTAGACTTTCAAGCCCGGTGGTGGCTTGGGGATGGCTCTGGAAGTCTTTTGCGTGGGGCAGGCGTGACTCTTAGGTGTGTCCTATAGCAAGTGGCAACCTCTCGGGTGGGGGACACTTGCTGTGGAGCCAGAAGACTGAGTTTCAGTCCTGATGCTAGCACTTGCTGGTCCTGCTGAGCATGTGCCCTCACTTCTGACTCTATCTACCTCCTGCGGTCACAGGGAGGTTCTGGGTTCAGCACATGTTTATGCACAATGCATGTACCCAACAGTAGCTGCCCACAGTCCTTCTCCTGAAGTGAGGCACTAGCTGGGCCCATTTCCTTGTCTTGCCACGTGAGACCTCAGTGGGTCTTCAGGACTCAGCTGGCTGTGGAGACTGTGGTCCCAGAGAGCCTGTTCTGATGCCTGCGTCTGTACCTAAAAGCTATCAAAACTTTGTGTTAAGTCCACTGAGGTGACGTGTGCTTCCATGTAGCCTTTGGTTCTCAAAGCTATTTTCAAAGTTTTTAATTTGGCCTTTTGGTTGGGTGTTTTCATTGGTTTGGTTTTGGCTGTGCTAGCTAGCTACTCCTGATTGGGCCAGTTAAACATTATTAGATTGCAAAATACCTGATTCGGTACAGCTCGCCTGACACAAGTAAGAGTTCAGCTGTTGGAAGTTCTTTTCTACTCCAAAGTTAGGTGAACATCCAGCCACCTACCTGAAATAATGGCAGAAACCAGCTATGACTCCAGCTTCCTTAGCAATTGTCTGTTGCTCTATTGTTCCATGATGGAAATAGCAGGAGCCCTGGTGACCCATACAATGGAATATTATTTGGAAAGAAAAAAGGAAAGAATTTCTGAGACATGATACAACAAGAGTAACCTTGAGCACATGTTCCTTTTTTGCTAATAAGCTTATATATAATAAAAATAGTCATAGCCTGGGGGGAGGTGGAAGATAGGGATGTATAAATGGGAGTAGCATCTCCATAGCCTCCTCGTGCAAGTCCTGCATGCCCAGAACAATCCATCTCTCTCCTTGGTAGGGAGTGGGGACGGTGGCCCATGGGGGTCAAACCCAAGAACTCCAATGCATCACACTGAGGAAGATGCGAAGGCTCTCCTGGGCCACCAGGACTAGGTTCCCGCAGCATATGGGAAAGCCCCACGATGAAGAGTATGGGCCCAAGTCCCTCGGTGGGTCCATGTCAAAGGATAGATCCAGGTCCACCCAATCAAATCTCCTTGGCATAGACGCCCATGAGGACTGCTCAACCTGAAGCTAAAAAAGGCTTGAGTGATGAGAGTCTCCTGTATTACTGGCTGCACAGCACCATCACCACTGGACTTCTAAGAGCTGCTAATCCCTAAGCCCAACCCTGAACAAATGTCTCCCATTTCTGGGGCATTGATATTTTTTCCATGCTCCCCCAAGTGCTTTTAAGGTATAGCCAAATTTGAAAACCATAGTCTCAGACTGAAAAAATCCCAGGGTTTAAAGGAACTTTAACCATTCCCTAGCCATTTCAGCAAACCCCGGTGAATCCAGAAGAGTAGGGGCTGGGCAGCTGGTTGGGAAGCATCAGGATAGTTGTCAGGCTTGTTCAGAATTTATTGCTGATCATGCTGGGAACTTTTTCCACCCCTCAATTTTTTTTTTATTGTGTCAAAATATACATAATAAAATTCACCATTTTACCATTAATAAGTGCGCAATATGGTTCAGTGGCATAAAATACATTTATAAATTTGTGCAGCCATCGCAATGATTCATCTCTAGAGTTCTTTCATCTTGCAAAAGTAAATCTGTGTACCCATTCAACAATAACTCCTAATTTTACCCCTCCCCTAGCCCCTGGTAACCACCATTCTACTTTCTGTCTGTATGATTTTGACTATCTTAAATAGACATTTCATAGAAGTGGAAGCATATAGTATTTATGTTTTTGTGACTGGTTTATTTCACTTAGTATAATGTCCTCAAGGTTCATCCGTGTTGTGTCAGAACTTCTTTCTTTTTTATGGCTGAATAATATTCCATTGTGTGTATATACTACCTTTTCCTTATCCATTCATACACCAAATATTACTTGGGTTGCTTCCACATTTTAGCTATTATGAATAATGCAGTGAACATTGCGTATACATATCTCTTCAAGACACTGCTTTCAGTTCTTTTGGGTAAATACCCAGGAGTGGAATTGTTGGGGTCACATGGTAATTGTATTTTTACTTCATTAAAGAACTGTGATACTGTTCTCCATAGTAGCCACACCATTTTACATTCCTTCTAACAGTGCACAAGGGATCCGATTTCTCCTTACACTTGTTATTTTCTGAGTTTTTGATAGTAGCCATCCTAGTGGCGTGAAGTGGTATCTCATTGTGATTTTGATTTGCATTTCCCTGATGATTCGTGATGTCAAGCATCTCTGTGTGCTTCTGGGTCATTCTTGTATTCATTGGAGAAATTTCAATTCAAACCCTTTCCCTATTTTTGAATTGGGTTGTTGTTGTTAGGGATTCCTTATAGATTCTGGAAATTAATCCCTTATCAGATATGGTTTATAAATATTTTCTCAGTACTGAGGATCTTTTTAATCCCAGTCTTCAAAATCAATATCAAGATCTGAACATGGAAAAGATTGGGTGGCTCAGAAGAATCTATGAGATTTGGAATTCTTGATAGACAAGTATGGAAGTGACAGGGGTTTAGTTGCATGTGACTCACAGTCAAGGAGGCCCCAAAATATAGTAGCACAGAGCTAACCGTGGCTCTTCCTGATGGGGTACATTGAGCTAGGAAGTTATTAAGGATGGAAGAAAAACATCCTTGAAGTGATCACAAAGCCGAGAATGGCTAGGAAGAATAGAGACTGAGGATCTTTTGTTAACTAGTATTTTATTTGGGGTCAAAAATGTTGTACTGGTGAACCAATCTCTTTCTCTCTCTCTCTCTCTCTCACACACACACACACACACACTTAGAGTATATAGCCATTAGAAAATGTTTATTAGCATTATTTTTTAAAAAGATTTATTTATTTATTTATACAAGCACTGGGTACAGTCAGAAACGCGGGAGGGTGAGAGAATTCACCAGAGCCAGAGCGGGGAGCAGAACAGGCAGAGAGACTGAAGACACTGCTGAGGGGAGCAGTGGGTGGCAGGAGAGGTCTGTGTGTTATGTGGGACCCTCGCCCGGCAGCCGGGATTCGAACCAGCACTGCAGAGGCTGCAGGCAGCTTCGCAGCCCATCACTCAACCGCTGCGCCACCAGGCGAGGCCCTATTAGCATTATTTTTAGTAAAAGAATTATAAGCAATTCTTCCCAGCCATGTTCTTCCTCTTACCGTTGCCGTGCTGGTGTTTGCACTGGTATAAACAGAGCTACTGGCAAAGCACCCCCATCGCCACCACCCCGCCCCAACTAGGCAGGAGAAGAAGACATGGTGGCAGAATCAGACCCACTTAAAACTGTGTCTGTGGGAATGCAAACAAGACAGCATCTCTCAGCCAAGCCCCTGGATCAACGCTGACAAGCCAGGCTAGAAGGAAATCCAGAAGGCACAATTGCAGCTTCTCTGTGGAAAGCTCAAAACCAATCTATGAAGAGCATCCTGAGGCCCTATTGTGCCTCTTCAGAGAAAATGCATGTGTGTTCATTGCTTGATGGGTCACTGCCATTTTCATCCCTTATGTAATAACACAGGCCCCCTGCTCCAATCTCTCAGTCGCTCCTCGGTGCTTACGATATGCAATCAGAACTGCCCCATCCTCTTCTCCCACATACCTCAAAAGCCCTAGCCTTGGTTGCCCTCTGCTCCCCATCTTGCCTGCCTCCTCTGGGGGTCTGGAATGTGTAGCATCTATGCAGCACTTCCCCAATCTCTGACTTTAGCTTTTGGAAACACTTCTCACTGAGGCTGACTAAGTCCTTGCCCAGGGCCACAATGTCACTACAGCCAGCACCAGCGGCAGATCTGGAATGCCTCATTTGTAGTCCACAAGAAATCTCACATGCAAAGGATTCCCAGAGGCTGGCATTTCTAGGGCAGCTGTTCCCAGCTATTTTCATATCACAATTCCCATAAAAAGTCATGTTTCTGTGTAACATGGAGGAACTGCTCTTGGCCAGATGCAACTCATAACAGTCCACAAGTGGTTAGGGTGTGTGTGTAGCGGGGTGCTCCATTGTAAGATGGTCCAGGCTGTTTCCATGTGGAATGTGATGCTCTCGATCTGCCCAGGGTCTTTAAATTCCTTCTGGGCAGGAGAGTCATCCTGGCAGGATTTCCGCCTGGGCTGGGCAGGAGGGGATGCCCAGCCACAGAGAGTATCTGGGTTTTATGTTCAGGGTCCGCTCACTCAGTCTGCAGCCCCCTGCAAGCCATCTTCACTATTGGTGTGAAGTCCATGTGCCGCGTCTATCATTTACTTTGTGTTGAACTTTAAATCAACTTAAAATTGATTTACTTTTTTATCTGGCCTTATCTCAGGCCAAATTTTATCTGTGACATTATGATTTGGGTCTGCTGGCACATACTTGCTACTCTAATATACATTAAAATATACACCACATAAGTCAATGTTTTTAAACTTGATATTATCTAAAGTCTTCTGGCAGCCACAGGAGGTGTGACTAACAGTTTGGGGAAAACATTGCAATTTTGATGAATCCTTGTGAATCAACCAGTCCTCATATACCTTCAGGGTAGGCACATTATTCCCATTTTTCTGAGGATTACTACTAGGGAAAATTAAGATCATGCAGAGTCTGGAGGGGTCTCAGTGTTGGGAGTATAACTACCATGGCCTCCATTACTTTGACAAAACCTCAGATGTGTGGCAGGTACTCAGAGGACTGAGTACCTGTGATTTTATGTTGATGAAGCGCTCATTGTACCGCTGGGGGTTACAACTGGCTATAGGCTTGCTGTGACTGACCACCAAAGAAGGCATATGGAGGTTTCTACAGAAATTATGATTCCCTGAAACATTTTGAGATGAGGAAGCTGGTATTTTTCAGAGTGCAAAGTGATTTTGGAACATAAAAACAAATTCGATGATTTGAGTTTGAAGTTTGTCACTGGCCTACATTCCTGAACTATGAAATACAATAATTGGAGTAAGGAATTATTTTTCTTAATAAGCAATTCATAAATCTTTCTAAATAAGCAATTCATAAAGATCATGCAGGTTATAGGAGAGAGCAGGGATTTGAACCCAGAGCAATGACTCCTGGAGCACCCTCCTCCCGGCCCCCGTGTCAGGCAAGCAGACGGCTGTTGGTGGAATTGCTGTTGTATGTCACCACGCTGGCCCTCACTGTAGTCTTCCTTTCTTCCACAGTCCACCCTGGGCTTTGTGGCCCTGGTGCTGAGCACCCTGCACACGCTTACCTATGGCTGGACCCGCGCCTTTGAGGAGAGCCGCTACAAGTTCTACCTGCCCCCCACCTTCACGCTCACGCTGCTGGTGCCCTGCGTGGTCATCCTGGCGAAAGGCCTGTTCCTCCTGCCCTGCCTCCGCCGCAGGCTCACCAAGATCCGCAGGGGCTGGGAGAAGGACGGCGCCGTCAAGTTCACGCTGCCGACGAACCATTCCCTGCCCCAGAAGACCAGCCACGTGTGAGGTGCCTGTGCCCGCCTCTGCAAGCCAGACCCGGCCGGTGGAGCCGCTGGGGCTCCTTTGCCTGAAGGTGCCTGCGGCGTGATTGTGTGCAGGCTGGTATTTGGAGGCCTGAGTTCCTGGGACACAAAGGTATTTGGTAATGTTCAGAATGACACACGCGTGTGTGATACTTATGTTCATATCTATTTCTTATATATGCCAGAATTCACAATTATACTTACTTAGCTAAAAAGTTGAGCCCCTGAGATTTCAACGTGTAGATTTGAAAGCCAGTGTTGGGTGCTAGGAGCTCTCACTGTGTATCAGCTCTCACTGTGAGGACATTTGCCAAGAGACACACGTTTTTTGCACAGAGAGGCAGTGAGAGGCTTGTATCTTGGCGGACTTGATCCTTTTGTGTTCCCTGCACCTCTTTTGCCACTTCGCAAGCTTTAGCATGATGGACAGACAGCAGTTTTGCCTGGAGCCCTATTCAGTAGCTCAGGGCTAAAGAGTTGCCTGTGGGTATGGGGTGTGGCCCCCTCCTCATTCACCTATGGCAGAAGCAGGAGGTGGGGTGAGGGCCTGCTGGGGGTGAGCCCAGCATCTGCTTTGGGAGCCCACTGAAGGTCTATTGTTTGCAGATGCAGGGGGTGGAGGTGCATACGGGGTTGGCACTGAACTGTACCCCTTACTCTTCTCTAATCTGGGGAGATTTTTTTTCCTGAAAGTTAGAAGTCACCCCAGCAGCTACAAATTGATCTTCCTGCAGGAGTGTGAAATTACCTCCTTGTTGGAACCTCTAATGAACCCCTCTGGAGAACAAGTGTAATTTCCTCCCCTCCTTGGTGTGGGTGACGACCGTTCTCTTAGCCGCTGTGCCTTTGCCTTCTCACCTTTTTAGATGATTAGTTTGAATGTCTTCCAGGAAAGCCTCGAACAGACCCTGTAACAGCCTGTCCAGCGGGGGCGGGGGAGAGAGTGCACTCAGCCTCACAGCCGAGCTGTGTGGAGACCCTGCGGAGGAAGTGAAGGACCAATAATCATCATGAAATTGGTCCCATGGGGGAACACCGGGGGCCTGTCCCGATGTCCTCCACTGTCACTGGGCAGAGAACCTGCATGGCAAGTTATGGGAAACCACACTGGCTCCACGTTCCTCCTAATGGAGGGTTCCATTTCAAAATAGCTGGGGGGCAGGAGGCTGTCTTCTGCCCAGGCTACAAACATGAAACACTGCTGCCCCAAAGTGCAAGAGGCTGGACCACAGCCAGGGCTGCAAGACGCATGTCCTCCCGTGACAAATGCCACTCCTCACTGACTCACAATGAAACTGTTTTTACTTCCCTTGTAGAGAAACAGCTGTTCTGGGCTGAGCCCCCAACCCTGGCAGAACCAGGGCGGGTCTGTCATTCCACAAAAAAAGCACAAAGGGGCGAGGGCTTGTTGGAAGACCTCAGTGAAACGCGCATGGAACTGTACCCTGAACGGGGGTGATGATGACATTTCTATGTCTTAGGGCTCCCCAGCCAGAGGGCATCTTATCATGGAACAAAGATAATCGAACAGGCAGAAGCTGGTCAGATAGTGCTAGAAGAAGAGGCTCCCTCCTCTCCCAGCAAAGCTTCATGAGCTCATGTCTGTGAAGCACATTAGGGTCCGTTAGTGAAAAGGGGAAAAAGCTGAGTGCAAGAATATCTCATTAGGCCAGTGACTGATGGAGGGAAGGCAGTGCGGGCGAAGCTGCCTGCTTCCTGCACATGTTTTCCATCTGCCGTTCCAACGTTCAGCAGCAGAAGCGTGTCTCCTAAATTGGCCCTGATGGAGCAGCAGCCGTGGCCCTGAGAGAGGCTTGCTGAAGAGGAGGCAGGAGAAGCAGAGGTTTTAGCATTAGCTTGGCGAAATGAGGGCCCATCAGTTTTCTGCTGAACGTGACACCTGGGACCTGCCAAGGGTGCCACCAACCCCAGTCAGTACTGGCTGACCCCTTCTCTGGCCCTTCCTGGGTTAGGCGTGATTTCCTTATACCAAAGATCTGACCCAGAGCAAAGTCCAGCATGCTCGCTCCCCTGCCCGGCCAGTCTCCTGCTGCAGGTGCTCCTCAGTGGGAAAGGGTTGGGAGGAGTGGCGGGCACTGGAGGGAACAGGTGCAGCAGAGGCCCATCCTCCCACCGGCTGGACAGTCAGCTCACGAGAGGCGGGTGGGCTGTGTGCTTGGCCTTGGTCTGGTGTCTGCTGCTGCTCTCCCCTACCTCACCAGGCAGCTGACCACAACATCCCCAAGAGAGCAAGTCAGTCCTTAAAGCCTGGTAAATTCTGTGTGCCTCTGGGTACAAAAGTGCCTGAACAAACGTGCTCTGGAAATCCTAAATGCCATGGTTGGAGGTGGATGTTTAAAATCTACGCCATTGAAAAAGGCCGTGTATTTTTGTTTTTACCTTGTAGAGCTTGTCTAAGCAGCAGCAAAAATAAATAAACCTTCTCTGGATTTCAGGCTTTTATTTCTGCCATGTCATTCACCTACCCATTCATTCAGTTCTGGCTCCAAGGAGCTTGTGCAGCGCCAGGCAGCATCCAAGGTGAGCGTGGATTATCTGGGTGAGAATCCCCCCAAGGAAGGACAGACCTGCAATGACAAGACTGTAAGGACACAGGTGATCCAAGTAACAAGGAGGTGGGATGTGAGAGCATCTCCAAAGGCCTAAAGAGGAGCAGGGAAGGCCTCCCGGAGGGAGCAGTGTCTGCTCTGTGCAGCCTTGAATATAGGTTAGGGTAGCAGTGCTTCTCAAAGTATAATGTGGGCCTGACTCACAGGCCCACAGGTTCTGAGGCTGAGGCTGCGCTTTGCTAATAAGCTCCCAGGTGACCAATGGTGTACATCCGCAGAGGCCCTGAGTAACAAGGGCTCAGATGGCTTCCTTTGTCTCTGTTGTACTATAATCCACAGCTACAAACCATGCACACCCATCTCCAGGTGCCATTCATCTTCTCCAGGACCCTGGTGCCCCCTGGTGCCCTGGTGCAGAGATACCTCTGCATACTGTCCATGCTGCTGCTACCCCTTTTTCTCAAAGGCAGGCATGCACCCTGCAAGATGCCCCCTGCCTCCCCCTATGTGGGCCCTGAAGCCATCAGGAAAACAGGAACTCTTCAGAGACCACCCACCTAACATGCGGTGAAGTTTTTCCACTGAAACCAGAAATATGTTACTGTATAGGGAGGGGAAAAAAACCATGTGCAGAAAGCAATCCAGTAGTTAAAAACCATTTCTTGGGAACAATAACCACAAGACAACCTTGCCATTTTGAGTCCATGATAAGGGTTTTCCAAAGAAAGAACCCTGGTCAGAAAACAACTTCACTACAAATAATTTTCAGCAGGAAAGTCTTGTGCTTGGAGATTTGTTTTTCTACTGTGCCCTCCCACACACAATGCTGGAAGAGTAAATTTCAAAAAGAAGTGATAAAATAGATGAAAATATCCATTATTCAGGTAGCTCACATAAGAACTAAGGAGCAATCAAAATAACTCATATTAGTTAAAGAATGATTATTCTTTTATTTGACAAGCTGAATCTTTTCCAAAAGCTATGACACAGGCCCTTGGAAGTGTTGCCCTCCCGAACTGGTCACTTCTCTGATTGCTTTACAAAGGGAGAGTTGGCACCATCAGAGCAGAAACTCAATCCTACCAGAATAGTACCAACCTCTAACAAATATTTGAAAGTCCCTTCTTACTAGTCTAAAATGAAATTCAGAAATAATGTAATCTATCTATGCATAGTGTATCTAATCAATTTAAGGTCTTAATTAAAATAGAAAGTAGAAATAAAGATTAATATACACCAAAAATAGATAATACTAATAATGAACAGTAATTACTATAATTATTCTTAAGTGTGAAAGTAATTCATTATACTTAATTATACAATTAGTAATTAATTATATAAGTAATGATCTTACAATAAATAAATTGGTTTTAAGAGAAATACAATAATATTCAATTAAACAGTGCAGACCCTCTATAAATGACATTACAAAATAAGAGCTAAAGAATTGTGTACATGTGAGTGTAAGTGTGTACGTGTGCACTTGTGTGCAGTGCACTGGGTGTTGAATGCTAGGGACAAGTCATTTGGGTAAAGACCATATATGTCCGCTGTATTTGGCGATATGGAAAGATTACGGTGAGCATGTCCATGGCAAGTTGGTGGTAAAGTGAAGATTGGGAATGAGCAAAGAAGCAAGGAAATGGAGACTAAATCTGAACAATTCTCTTGAGTTCTGCCTGTGAAGTGAGGAAGGGACAGGTAGAGGGAGGAGCTGGTAACTGGAGAGAGATTGGGGGTAGAAGGATGGAGTGTTGGTTATTTTTTTCCTTATGGTTTTGACATAAACAGTTTCCAAATGTTTCTGGAAGACAAGATGAACAGGAAAGGTTGCAGGTGAGGAGGGAGGCAGGAAGAGGGATGTAAAGGACAAGAGGAGAGGAGGGGTCAGGGACAGCTGGCCTTTTAACCTTGGGAGAAAAGGGTAGGTGGCACTGGGGAGGTTGATCTTTGGTGATGTGTGGTGTGGAAGTTTTCTTCTGATGACATCCATGTCTTTTGTAAAAAAAAAAAAAAATTCAATGCCATGTGCTGAGAGCGACGAAAGGAAGAAGTCTTGACTGAGAGTTGACGAAAGAGGAAAAGGTTAAAAATAATTGTTGGAGAAAGTGAAAGGCAGCTGACCAGAAAAACATGGTAGGGCTCGCCAAAACACATGAACAAAAACTTGTTTCTAATATTGCTTGTCTATGATGAAATATACTACTGCATTTCCTGGGAAGTTTACAGTGTGGTTTTTGCTCAGTTAAATTCTGTTTCCCTCCACCAATTTCTGTAACTACTCCTCATAGTTTATCTTAGTTGAGTTCTATCTCCAATAGATAAAAATGCCTTGGCATTTTTATTTTATTTTTGCTACTCAAAAATGCTTTGGCCTCATTTTTGTTTTCTCTGTTCAGAAATGAACAGTTACAAATGGAACCTTTGATGCACTTAGCAACCAAAAAGCCTCCGCTGCCAATCTTCTCATAAAGTGAATAATCACCTCTTGTTTTTTGTGTGTGGATTTCATTTATTGGAATAGAAATCTAGCTTATTTCTGTAATTTGCCACATATGCAGTGCCCACTCTTGAAAATTTCATTTTACCCAAGAGTTAAAACTTTTTCCCATCCACAGATTTGGTTAAGGCTTTCACTTTTGGCGGAATCTTTCTGGTACAAAGCAGTTTGTCTCAGGACTGCTTGCTTTGTAAATAATTTTTTTCCCATGTCCTACAGATTAGCATCAAAATTAACCTGTTTCAGAGCAATCACTCATTTAAAGATTGAATTGCAACTCCTATAGAATTTGTGGTAATTGAGAAAATTTTCCTGTTATATAATTCTTTGTGAACTAAATTGAGGTCCAGCTCAAAAGATTTGGAATTCTATGATAAATGTTAGTAAAATGAAGGATTAAATAAATAGGTGTTTTAATTCCTTTTCAAATTAAACAGAGAGATCTTTTAAGTATTGCTGTAGTCTCAGGAGCTAAGGAAAATCACTAGGACAGAAAATAAATGGAGACACATGTGCACACACAATTAAACAAACAAAATAAAGGCCTCTTTCTTGGCAGAAGCAAATAAAAGTCTTAAAGTCCTTTCTGTAGAAAAGCAACTTCAGTTCAGATTAACCAAGTAGAAGCTCATTATCTAAGATCAAATAAGCCATCAGTGAGAATTGGCAGAAAAACAACACCAAGAACTTCAAAGAAAAGAATTGTCAAATATATAATAATATATGCGATCTTTAACAATTTAAATTGCAACAAAAAAAGTAAGCAAGAAAACACTGTGAAAGGATCAGTCACGATGAAAAATGGAACATTTAGAAATGAAAAATTATTAGAAACAATGCTAATTAGATAAATCAATTCTTAAAAGAGAAAAAATAGCATAGAAAAGACGGTGCAGGGAAAATAAAGAGTAGATTTAAGTCAATTCACATATATTAATGATCATAATAAACAAATGTATTAAAATATAGAAGTTGTCAGATTTTTCAGTATAGCTGTATGCTATTTATATGTAGCATGCCTAAAGACTAAAGATAAAGGTATAGAAAAGATGTGTGTTAGGCAAAAATAAATCAAATGAAAGTTGTGGTGCCTAGGTTATTATTATATAGAGTATACTTTTTGACATTATTAGGGATAGAGATAATCACTACATAGTGGCAAAGGGAAGATTCAAATATTTTAGAATTATTTGCATTTAATAATGCAGCTTTTGGGGCCTCCCTGGTGGCACCAAGTCTCAGGGCTATCAAGCTATTGCCAGCCACTGAGGCATGAGTTCAATCCTCAGCCAGGGAGCTAACCCACATGGCGTAGCAGACCTCTCCTGTCTCATCCGCTCTCCCCTCAGCAGTGTATTTCAATAGATCCACCTGCTCTGCTCCCCATTATGTCTCCGGTGAATCCTCTCTCTCTCTCTCTCTCTCTCTCTCTCTCTCTCTCTCTGTCACACATACACACACATACGCACACACCTCTCCCTGCACCTCTGGCTTACACCCCAGTTCTTGTATGCATAAATAAATTTTAAAAAATAATGCAGCTTTAAAATGCATAAAACTCAAAAGAAATGTAGATAAAGTTAGAAATCAAGAATAGAATCTTATATTTTAAATACCCATTCATTTTGTAATTTAAAATGTCCATACATTGCTAAGTCAACAGTCTAAAAGGAATTTTTTTTTTCCCCAAGGACAGCATGGTTTATAAAGGGGAATTTTTCAAAAATTTAAGTGAATGGTAAATGTTTCCATATCAAAAATTTGAGGATGCTACTAAAATATTACTTAGAAGGAAATCAATGGCCTCGATAGGATTTAGTGCCATATGAACCCCTTGCAGAAAAATAAAAAGAAAGATATTCCAAATGTAATAGCAGAAATTAGTAAAATAGACAGCAAAGACATTGTGGAGAAAACTGATGAGGCCAAATTTTGGGGGGGGTTTAATGTTTAATTGTACCTTTTTGAAAGGTTGATTTTTTTTTATTACAACTAATCAAATGGTTCAATCTTTATTAAGGATGGATGATCATGAAAGAAAGGGAAAATGCTCAAATAAATTTAGGTGTATAAAGGTGACAAAACTACAGATGAAACAGAAATCTAAAAGAAAAAAAAATTACTGCACACAAGATTTTGCAATTAAATTGGAAAACTTAGAAAGGACAACAAGCTAAATTTAAGCTAAAAAAGCTAATTCAAGAAAACAAAGTCTGAATATTTGTAAAATCGTTAGAGAAATTATATCAGTAGTTTAAAATTTTCCCACACACAAAACAAAACCCACAAAACAAGGCCCCGTGCGGTTTAAATGCAAAATTCTACTAAACTTGTAAAGAACAAATAATCCTATCACATACATACTCTTCTATATGAGAAAGGAAAATTACAGGCCAATCTCAATCT